TGGGACCCGCCGCACACGCGCTGCCCACGCGGCACCTGCCCGGTGCCCACGCGGTGCCCACGCAGTGCCGCCCTCCAGCCCCGGAGCCGCCTCCCCCACCGCCTCAGAGCCCCGTCCTTGCATCCTCCCGGCTCTTCCCTCTCTCCAGGATTCCCTCCCCACACTCACACCAGCGGCCCCCCCGGGTGGAACTGCCACGCGTTCTGAACCACCTCCCTTTACCGTGACAACCTTCACCTCATCAGTGGCTCGCACTACAGCTGTACCTTTGTACATCTCTGTGTTGTTTATCAACACGTATAAACCCCCCGCTCAGCGTCCTCATTCCCTCTCCGAGCAGAAGTGCTACTACCCGTGGGGGGGATTTGGGCAGGGATCAACTAAAGCGAGCGGGCGGGGTTAACCCCTCCTTGTTGGGTTTTTGAACCCTTACACAGGGTCAGGGCCTGCAGTGCCTTGGATCCTCTTTCCAGAGCCTTCCAGCCCTGCTCGTATTTGGGTACCACATTAGCCAGCCTCCAGTCATCTGGGACCTCCCCTGCTGAGCAGGACTGTTGATAAATGCTGCAGAGAGGCACACTGAGCTCCCCCACCAGCTCCCTCAGCACTCCAGGGTGGATCCCATCAGGCCCCACAGACTTGTCAGCGTCCAGGTGCAGAAGCAGATCATTAACTACTTCCTCCTGGATTATGTGGAGTTGTTCTGCTCTCTGTCCTTATCTTCCAGCTCAGGAGGCTGAACATCCTGGGTGTAGCTGGTCTGACTATTAACGATGGAGGCAAAGAAGGATTAGGTATCTCAGCCTTTTCCTCATCCTTGGTAGCAATGTTCCCCCCCAATCCAGTACGGGATGGAGATTCTCCCTGGCTCATTTTTTATTGCCTGATGTATTTGTAAAAACTCCTTTTGTTATCCGTTATGTCAGTGGCTGTACCCTGTACAACTGCACATTTGGCTTTTTCAGTCACCTACACAGGTGTTTTTTTAAAGAGGGCTAGAACTATAAAAACAAGGAAGAGTTATCCCAATGTGTGGGTTTTTTTTTTGTTGATGGGAGAACTTGCAATTTTTAAGTTGAACTGAATTTTGAATAAATGCAAAACCTGCAGATCTTCACACAGTGGATATACAGCTCCAAGCCTGTTAACACATTATGTTGGTGTAAGGGTCTCAGATGCACTTCTCTAATCTTGACTCATTCACAATACCAAGAAACAAGTGTGAATGAAGTCAGCTAAAGGTTGCTGCTCACCAACATGCTTTACAGATGGTCAGGAGGATGAAGACAGTCAAATGTTATACATCTCATCAACAGCACTTTTCTTACTTGGAATGCCATATGCATCTCATCCTTGTGAGGAACAGAGAGCAGTTTGTGCTGCGAGAGCAAGGTAGTGCCAGATGCCTCAGAGAGGTGAGGCAGCAACCACGCATGGACTGAGTAGAGAGTAAAGCAGGTCTGGTTTTCTATCATCTCTGAGTCTGTGTGGGATGCTAGGACACACTAGGTGTCCTGAAAACATTTGCTTTGCCTTTGTGAGTAAATAAATCTAAGATATGATATTGTGTTCTTACTATCTTACATCTCTGCCTGCACAGGCACTACACAGAGTAAAAAGAACAGTCTAGGAGGAGCTATTCATCATGCATCTGTATCTAGTCCTTATTCTTCTAAAAGAAAAATAACTCACTTCCAGAGTCCAAAAATCCTGTCTGCTCAGAAGTTGTGACAATATTATTTTTGTTTTCCCTTTCAAATCACAAGAAAGATTGTGTATCAGGCTGAAGCAGAGGCTAAAGCCATATCCAGAATGGAGTGTGACATCTTTGTTTATACCTTAAACCAGGACTAAAACCACAGATAAATGGATTCAGCTCCCAACAGCTGGGCTACCTGATATACGAGAAAAGAAGAAAACTCAAATCCAAGCAAAATGTAGCTCCTTTGAAACCCCCCATACAAGTATACCTACAGAACTGGCATCAATTCACCCCAAAGGGCTGTGGTTCCTGGCAGCTCCCTGCTGCTCCTGACCTCCTGCTCCCTCCAATGTTGAGCAACACCTCCTTGTGTAAGCGTGGCTACCATGAGGGCATTAGCTAGCCAAAGTCTACTAATGACTGCATGCTTTTTTTTTCCCCTTCCTCCTTTCTCTCAGCCAACTCAGAATGACCCCACTCACGTTACCTTCCTTCAGCCGGTGCATCCCAGGCTCTAGGCTGATCTGGACGCAGTAGACCTCCCGGGTTTGGATGCCACCTCCACAAAGGCCTGCGTGCTTGAGCTGGCGAGGGTCCAGCTGGTCAAGGAGGAGAGACACCTGACAAGCTTTCCATTCAGAAGTCCTCCAGGCAAACCTTCAGAAATAAAAAGAGACCAGGTAAAACAAGTTTTTAACAAGACTACGGGTGAGGGTGTGGTAGTTCTATTAAATTACAGTATACAATCGGTTTAATCTCTACAGCAGCACTTCTCAGTTCAAAATAGGAATGTTCTGAAACATCTTTAAGGCTAAATTTAGAAAATATTAAGAATTTGTTATTTGTCTCGTGTACTTCTGTAAAATTTTTGAGATTGTGTTCTAAAACATTAAATCATCCTGACAAACCCTTTGAACAGGGTGCAAAGACAAAAAGAAGATTAAGAGGTTCGATCAAGTGCAAAAAATAGTTTTCAAACATGTGGCTCAAACAACTAAACCACCTCTCTCTGCCAAGAGCTGAGTACCTCACTCTGAAATGCACTTAATAGCTAAAACCCTACATATGTCAGTGGAGCTCCAAGCACCAGACTGCTTTCCTACAGGTGACAGCTTTACAAACACCTGGGGCACTACAAATTTCTTCAAGGGATTGGCTGAAGTAATTCAGTTCTCTCCTTTTGGTTTCCAGAATTTTTCTAGATAAAAATATTTTAGCTCTATATTCACTTCACACCTATAGAGCATTAATGGTTTTCAGGGAAGGTAACATTCTTGGGTACAGATACATGAATGCTGGACAGATAATTGGCATTGGTATGTACCAGCTTAAGTGTCAGGAATAAGTTCCTAAAAACTATAGAGAAAACAGTATTGTGTGTCAGCAGAAAGCAAAAATTATTTCCCTATCATATCTGAAAATGCAGAGCATATTTCTAATACAACAGTTTTCAAAGGCATACTTCATTTTGATTTACAGGTCACAGTTTCAGCAGAGTAAATAAGAGCCCAAAGTCTTTCTTCAGCTTCCCAAACACAAATCTCAGACAATATTGTTTTTATATCCAATCTGTTCACACTTCTGCTTTATTCCTTTGCTCCTCTACTTTTCATAGCTTACTTTTTTCCAGACAATCTCTGTTGGCTTTTAAGTAATGTAAACTATGTAAAATAATTTCCTTCTTTTATCCTCAAAACAAATGCTGTCTCCTCTTACAGGAGATCCATGGTTCTTAAAACTACATCTGTTAGTTAACCTGCTGACTGATCATTCCAAGTTCAAGCACAGTGGGGCACCTCTGCAGGAAAAGCCTTCCATGTTGTGGCTCTGTGTGTTCTCCGTGGTGAGTAATCTGTTCCTGACTATGGCAAAGAAACACACATCCCAAAATTATGTGAAAAATAAACACATTAGCTTGCCTGAGCACACATCAATGCTCTCTTAACTTCTTATGTTGTAAATATGGGCATAGGAATGATTTCTAGCCACAAAGCACTTATGAATTTTGTATCATACTCATGGAAAATGTTTGTGAATACTGCCAATTACTTTTAATTTACAGATACTTCTCAGATGAGCTGTCACACTCTCTTAAATAATACACAGTATCATGTGCAAATCTGGATGCACTCACAGGGTTTTATTACCAGCAGAGAAAACAATAAAGAACACACTTGTCACATGACAAGCAGGAAATGCTTGAACTCCCACAACATATAAAGCACAGCCATGAATTTCCTCTTCCAGTAGTTCCTTCTGGGAATTCCTAATCACATTTCTTGGGCCTGCAGCATTAAACGCAACCTTTCTCTTCTAATAAAGGCAATGAAAGGTGTTCTTCATCACACACTGGGTGAAGAGGATTCCTCCTCCACACCACTTCAGGACATCGTGTTCTGCAGATCCACACTTTCAAACTAGAGGCTTAAATATAGAACACACACATCTTTCAGCAGCCATGGAAATAGCTGTTTTAAGGAAATAGTTCTTAATAATTGACTAAAGAAAAAGTCATTATCAGTACCTGGCTTAGATACTCAGCTGAGACCTCTGGATCCTAAAGACTAATTTCCAGAGGTGTGAGGACCTGCTTCTCCTATTCAGCATGAGCTATGGCAGTTAACACCTATGAAAATTAGGCCATCAGTGATTAAAATTATGCAAAATACCTAAAATTTGAGCTCTGCAATAATTAAACTTCATCAGCTCCTGATTCTAACAAAAAAAAAAATTAAAAATTCCCTTTAGATATTTTAACTGGCTACTGTGCACACTGGAGAGCAGCCTTTAATGAACAGCTACCAGGGGCTTCAGCCAAAACCTTCTCTGCTGTGAGCAGCTGAAATCCTCAGCCTCAGCAGCCCATCTTGCTTTTTCCCAGCCAGACATGCCCTCAGCTCTCCAGAGCTCTCCAGTACAAATCCTGACCCCCATTAGTTGTTTAAAAGGTCCACATTTTCATGGCAATTAGTAAGTCCACTACACTAGAAACATATCCAAGGGACGGCTATCCCACAGAGTGGGAAATGTAATGCAGGATCTTTCCAGACAGTGACCTCAGAGAGCTTCATGACAGAACCTCTGCAGGGTTTGAAGCAGCATGGGTGATACTTGGTATTTGTCTGCCCATCTGTGGACTACACTGAAGACAATTAGAATTAACATTAGTTAATGAAGAGAAACTGCATAATCTCTACTTAAATTCAATCAGAAGCTTGTTAATAGCCATTAGTAAGGAACAGGGATTACTGACTGGCAGACACCTGAGGGTGTTTTGTAATTTCAGCAACTTCAAGCCAGTACTTGCACATTATTAGCAGTATCTAGAGTGGTTTTATCACACAGCTGTAATTTCTCCAATTGAGCAAAGATGTTCAAAGCCACCAATGTCACTTTGGTCATTCTGTTGTAAGAGCAGACAATACCAGGGATGCACTGTACCACCACTGAGCTAGGGGGTCCATACCATCCAGTCACCTTGTTCTCCATCCCCAGAGGGTGAAGAGTGTGATAACTCAGGATGTGGAAGGTACATTATACATACTGCATATGTCTTAAAACTTTCCCATTTTCCTTTATTTCCCTTTTGAAAGCTTTGAATTTCCAGCAAAGAGGGTGTTGTTTTTTTCCTAAATCCCTGTCTCGTAATACAGCAACCACAACCAAAATTAGAGATTTAAAAACATAAAAACATCATAATTCTGGAAAATCTACCTATTCCCAGTGAACATGAAAGCTACACATCAAGGATAAAAGTGACATAATACATTGGTTTAAAACTGATGACTCGGTGACAGCTGTGCAACAAACAAGTGCTCAAGATCGTTCCAATTTATAGTAACCTCTTGCTCTCTTTAGTCTATAGGACTTATGCTTTTAGTGCTTACACAAGTTTTATACCTCAGTACACCAATTCACTTTAATTGAACTATCCCAAATTTATATCACAATAAAAGAAAGCAGAATCACCTCCTAAGGACTTAAGCTTTTTAAACACATCATCTAATCCCTTCATAACAAATAACCAAAAGTACAACAAAGAACAAAGCTCTGGAGTCTGACATGCAGTTAAAGTGGTTTATTTTCTTGCATTTCAACTATTGATTAAAGAAGTTACTGTAAACTTCAGCCATAAAATTAAAAGGCCTTCCCATTTAACAGCAGTTTACACTATTTGCCATGTACCTGTGATGGGACCTTTAGCCTGCAGCCTCACCATGGACACAGAGGTAATACTTAACAGAGTAGTTTGATTTATTTATTTTCCTCTCTGGATCCTTTTTAGGAGGCTGGAATATAACTTCACCCACCTTCCCCTGCTGAGTACTTGCAGAGGCAAGTGCTACCTCTCGAGCTGCTGCTTTTCTGTGTAGCCCACAAGATTCCATTCAGTCACGGGGTGCTCCCTACCCTTGCATTAAAAAAACACTCTCTGGAGAACCCCTTTCTTCTGGTTAGAAACTCACTCCCTTCTGGTCTATGTCTTTACCTCTTTGCCATGCTTGGAATGTGCTTTGGAAAATTCTTGCCCAAAGAATAAAGCTTAAAGGAAAGGCTAGTAGTCTTAATATCAACCAAAAATTAGTAAAGAAGAGATTTCCAGGAACTGGGAAAGTAAATAGGATTCTTACCTTAAAAGATTTTAAGACTTAATCTGATTAGGGAAACACAATTCAGAAGGAAAGAATGAACAGTTTGTGTTCAAATCTGACAAATGACAGAGAGAATTTTATTGCTGATACTGAATTTCCTTAAATTCAGCATCTTCTTCTAAGGGGAATAAAGAAAAGTGTTTGGTAAACCTCAGCAAAGATGAGGTGGCATAGATTTAAGGGGGGAAAAGCATAATCTTTCTAGGTATCACACTGCAAAAGAATATGATCAAATAAGAAGAACAGGAGCATCAAAGACTTCTTATATTATCTTATAGGGATTAACTCTACATCCTTCTATGGTTGAAAGATACTACTTTCCATCTGAAATATACCCAGTATCTCAGTCATTGTAAATAATAAATTTTAAATTGTCTGGCTACTGTTAATTAACACAAAAGTCTGGCCCCAAACTCGCAGCACATACTGCAGCATTACACCTTTTCACTCGTGCTCCATTCTGCAGTATTTAAAGGCCAAATCAGAATCTACTGACCAGGTGCTACTGTAAAATTCTCCTCAATGCATAGTGTGAGCAGGTCATAGCCCACCCCCTGCATTTTGAGATACCACATCCCTAGAAATAACAATTAACTAAATACCAGAGTCGAGTGGGGGTTTTTGCAATATTTTTCATTAAGTGGCTCTATTAAACTGTAAGTCTAATGTTATTTTTCTGAGCTAAACTTCTTGGGAAGTTTATCCCAGCTTATGGAGATACTTCACAGGAGATGTTGCCTGATGGACTGAAGGTCTGCAGATATGGCAGGATGGGGAAGGTGTAAGGGTTCCCAGGCTCATACAAACTGGCACACAGCAGCGATACACTGAAAGAACAGCTTTCCTTCTACATCTAGAGTGGCACCACAAGAAAAAAATCAGTGTTATGCAGGTTCTTGCCTTTTGGGCTCTTCCGACTCTACATCAAGCAAGCTGCAATCATTTCTACTTCTACATGGCGCAATGACAAAAAGAAGAACTGAGAAACCAGGGACAGATATGGGTTTGTTCACTCCCTGATTAACTCCCAGCCAGTCTACCCCAATCAAGTGTCACCTGTACCCACGCTTCTATACAAAATCAGTGAGACAATGTGTTCATCTATTGTCTTTGGAATTGATGTGCGGTTGGGCAGAAGCAGAAATCACTCCGTAAGAGCCTTTTTGTAGGATGTAATCAAGCAACAGAATATATTTTTTTTTATACTTCCTCTCTTCTGCTAGCAGGGTGCATAAAAATGATGAGCATTTGATTTTGAATGAACAATATGGAGGCATTTTTACAGGTTACACCATCCTAAGAAATGTATCTTGCAAAGTCTTCATCAAAGGTTTTAGCAGCGCCTGGCAAAGCCCCAGAAACCCATGACTTGAGCACTGAATAGATCTTCTCTTAAACATTCTCATTCAGAGACAGGGAGATCTGTCTGCATGCAAATAAAATTTTATCCATCTCAGAGCATTTTGCAGTCAATCTCAGAACACGCCACATGAAAAATTAAGCAGTGTTTTATTTTCTTTGCAAAGCAAACAGGTAACCCCCCTATGCTAGCCTGGCCAAGCATTATGGCATGGATTTGAAGACCAGAAAGGGGAGATCCTCAGCTTCAGTCAGACCAAAGATTGCCACACACCAAGCAAGAACTCAGGGACTTCAAAGTTTCCCAGTTCAAGAAGGACCTGGAAGGAAGCAGAGTCAAGTCCAAACTACTGCCTACGACCAGTTCCCATTTCCCTCAAGGAAGACTGGTATTTTTTTATGGTTAAATGAAGGGGACTCATTAAACCTTACATGAAAAATACAATTTCAAAGCAAATAAAAGCACAGCCATGGAGATCTCCCCAGTTTGTGTGCAGCTGAGGAAATTCTCCAAAACAGCAATCAGTATGAAAGCTCCTTCAGAGAACAAGAGTATCTGCTCTTAAGTTTTAAAATAGGAAAATATAAATTGTAGCGGGTAGAATTTGAATTATTTCTATATGTAAGTGTAATTATTATAACAGCAATAGCAACAATTACAAGAATATTACTAACAGTAAATAATGCCACTAATCATAGTTAATAGCGACCAAATCAATGATCTCTTAGACACAGGACAAAGCACGACATGCGACTCTCTCCACACACAGACATTGGTCAGGGAAGGTCTGCTTTGCACAAAAGTCATCCAACAGGGGCTTTGCTCTCAAAAACTGGGCTGAAAGCACCTGCCATACCTGGGGCAAGGCTGCAGGAGCTCCTTCCCTCCCACGCTGCAGGCTTCTCTCTCTTCCAGCTCCGGGCACTGCTTTCCGGCGCCCTCTGCCACGCTCCGCACGCTGCGGCGCCGGCTCCGGAAGCCCGGGGTGAGATCTCCCCAGGCACAGGTCTGTGAGCAGGTGCTCCATGGGGACCACTCTGATGTTTCACAGTCTTTAGCGATGACACAGGACTTGAAGGTCAAAGGGACAGGATCTTGAATGCAGAGGCTGCAATAAGAACATAGCAAAATCGCTGAGAAAGTCTTGCTTAATTTTTTATATTTCTTTATTTCAAACCAAAGCCCCAGATACTTCAGCCTAAGACAGGGTCTGATCTCAGACCCTGATCTCATGGTCACTTGGGGTAAGTCAGAAGACCTGCATCAACACCAGTACAATGAAAGTAAGAGGAGCCATAAGGCAGTGCGTATAACACACTTCCAGGGATTTCTGGGTGCAATCTTGCATCCGGAGTATTTTGCAAATAATAGATCTCATTTATTTCAAGTTAAAACAGATGTGAAAGGCACTAGATTTGCTCCCGTGCAGTTAAAATTTCACATTATGGAAAATAAAAGCCAATCCCAAGAGAAATGCTGCCACTGGTAACCATTCCCATCACCCCGCACACAGGATCAGCTGCCCAACGTCTGTCCATCTGTCCAGGAGTCAGCACATCCTGCTGAGCAACACAGATCTTTTAAAAAATGACTAATAAGAAACATGTTGACTTTGCAAGGCTGCCATCAAACAGATGCTGTCAACCAAGGTCAGAGGGTTTTCAAACCCGACAAACCACCCAAGACCCTGGCATGCTGCAACTGTGCCCATATTTTGGGACTCAATTACTCCTGCTGACATCAGGATATGACCCTCATTCGTTTTGTAACATATCAAAACATCACACACAAGGCCCAATGCAACATACAGCAAAATTTTAAGACCTGCCAACTGTTCAGATTTGGTACCAAGACACAAAGTCCCAGAAGACTTCCAAAGTTACAACTCCTTTTCACAGTACAGAAAAGTATGGCAAATAAGCAAATACTTCTGGGAGGAGACAAACCTCCGGATGAAGGCCAACATCCTTCCTTGCTCCTTTACTTCTGTCTCAGCCAGTCAACAGCTCTCCTGACCGGCACATGCTGGGATGTACCCCACAGAGGCTCCATCTCATCCCAGCCACAGATCAAGCAAACAGTCACCACTCCCAGCAAGGGAGGAACCTTTCTTGTCTCTCAAAAACCTTAGATAGCTGAAGTAGCAGAGCAGGAAAGAATATACCAAAAAAGGACTGCAATACATAGGAGCAGAGACATCACTGGAGCACCATGAATGATGGGACAGAGCAAAAAAAGTTCAAAGCCAGGATAAAGGAGTCACCAGAAGAAATGATTGTGTTATGCTGATGTCACAAACCAGTCAGCAAAATTAGAACCATGCATGAACTGGGTGTGAACACTCTCCAGCCTCCAGTTGCTCACAGGCAGGCTTTTGCCAACTGTTCAGAGCAAGTACACTTACACTTAAGAGGTGTGAAATCCAGAGTGCTGCCCAGGAACCAGCCATTACCTCACTTGGTATTACTTACAGCACAGTTTGACTAACTTAACTTTCTCTAAAGAAAAGAGACTGAAGCAATCATTTGAGGATTGCAGGGCAGGGGAGCACAGAAGACAAAGGACATTCACCCATTTCTCCTCCAGTCTAGAAATTCATCCCATTTTCACAAAGGTCAACAGGAATATTCTCACTGACACCTGAACAAATCTGACTAGACCCTCAACTACCATCAAAATACAGCAGTTAGTGGCTTTAATCTGTTCTTCAAACTAAGAGGTAACAACTTTGTCTCAGTTTCTTTGCCCAGAATAAAACTCATTAATCTCACAGGTGCTGTGAGGATGAATTTACTAGGGTTTATTTTAACATCTTAATAAAGCAGAAACAACCTGTGGCACGACCTCCTCGAAATAAAAATGTCTGAAGCATTAATTTAGGTCGAGTCACATGAATGTTCACTTTAATTCTCTTTTAATACTTCTTCACAACATTAACAAGAAACAAGAATTACTGCTTTTGAGCAGATAAAAGAGTAGCACATACGAATCACAGTTCTAACCAATGGTACTAAGAAACTGGAGTTTACCTAAGAACGCAGCATGGTAACTAATCTCATATTCAGAGAGTGCTCAAAACCTCACATCCCAGCACAAAAACCCCAATCCATTTTTGAGGTTGCACCACTGCAAAGGAGATTTAAATCTGGCCTGATTTTTACTGAAATACCAAGCAAAACCAAGCCTTTTAAGAACCTGGTTTGGGGTCTTCTTTAAAATTACACTGCTAACCGCAGTTCTTAGCAAGACAATACCTACAACACCTCTCCTAATAAAAGCCATCTCTGCCCAGCAATCATCCTTGCTATTTGCAAAAGCCTTTGAAGTATGCAAAGACTGAAGGCCTGTTTCTTTCCCTGGAAATCCCTCCACAGCTCCTACTACAAAAGGCTAAAGAGAGAACTTCTTTGACCTAAACGTGAACAAGCCGTGGAGCCGGTAGTTTCCAGCTTTCTGCTCAAGATGCAACTGCCCGACAGAAAGCGAATCTAATTAACTTGTACCTACTCATTCAGACCCTCAAAGTCAAATTAATTGTGACACAGAGCAACACAAAGACAAATGTAGAAACATTTTTTTGCATAAAATTCAGACACAGCCTTTCATGTCACAGATGTATTTAGGATAATGAAATACAGTTAAAACCCAGTTGTGCAAGACACTCACTGCAAAACCAGACGTGTATTTGCACTGCTGTGTCTGCATCCCAAGTGGTAGGAAGAGGAAGGAACTCTTGAGGAAGGGAGAAGCTACATAAGCCTTGTTTTTAAACTAACTTTCCACTTACTGATGTATCAGGTCAGATCTTCCTCTGGGAGTCAATCTAGTAACTGTGATATACTAGGGTACTTACTATGTTACACGCTTGGATTGATACTGTAAAACTCCAGGAGTGGTTTCACAGCCCACATTACATGGCCTGCATTGCAAGACGGTCTGTCAGTGAGCAGACAGCAGCAGCACAAAGCCTAACCCTCCGGAGTGGCAGGAAGCCCTCTTAACTCTCTTTTGTACTGAAGGGGGAACAAACCACATATTAAAAAAACCCAAGCACTAAAGCAAAGGAAACCTACTCATGTCTCTTTTACACTCACAAAGTCACAGAATCACAGAAACACAGAATATTAGTGGTTGGAAGAGACCTCTGAAGATCATGAAGTCCAAGTCCCGCAGCTACTAGCAGAAAAGGAAGAAGAGGATGAGGAAAAGTGTCCCCATGACCCAAGCCCACTGCATAGCCCCAGGTCCCCAGGATGGTGCAGCTGCAGGCTGCTGCTGACAGAGCAGAGCTCCTCCAGCTCCAGCCACCTTCTCCAGCACTAGATACAGGAACTGTGCAGCCCCACGCAGATCCACACAGCTTTCTATTCTGGACAAAACATATCTCACCAATAAATAGTTTTCCAACAGCTCAGTGCAACTGTGTTATGTGCCTTACAGTCACACAGTCATCATGTCCACTGCAGAGAAACAAG